GCTAATTTGTAACTGGATCAGGAATAATGGTAGAGTCACAACGACTTCACTTCAGGAGAAAACGGTCAGGTTCAGGGCCGACAGGGGCTGTCCGCAGGGAGGGGTACTCTCCGCTTCTGTAGTCACTTCTGGTGGATGAACTCTTCTGGCCGTGATACAATGGGGGGTCAAGGTTTGCGCATATGTGGACGATTTAGTTGTAGTAGCCAAGGGCAGCTCTGAGACGAGAAACTCTTGTGTGCTGTGCTTGATTGGTGTGAGAGAGAGGAAATGGCGATTAATCCTCATAAAATGATCGTAGTACCCTTCACCAGGAAAAGAAATCTTGATAACCTTGTACCTACCCCCGACTATACGGGAATAAATAATTTCACTTTGGAATGAAGTAATGTATTTGAGAGTCATCCTGGACAAGACTCTGAACTAGAACGCTCATCTGGAAAAAGTGGGCCAGAAGGCAAAATTATCGCCTTGGAAGTGCCACAGGACCTGTGAAAAGACCTGAGGTTCCAAAACAAATCCACTGGTTATCAGAACACCTATGGCTCTAAAGTATGGTGAGGCAAGGCGAATCAGAAAAAGGGGTTCAAGCCACACTCAGTGGACTGTAGAGAATGGATTGCCTGACAAAAACAGGAGCGTTGTGCACCACGCCTGCATCAGCTATGAGAATCCTCATAAACCTAACTTCCCTTCACATATACGTGCAGAGGAAAGCAATGAGAACAACCTATCGGCCGAACCTTGTGCCACGCAATTTCCGCCCTTAAACCGCTTCAGCAATTTAAAGGGAAGGTACGGTAAGGTGGACAACGGAATGCTAGGCTAGCGCAGCTCGGGAGTGGTCGTGCGGTTCAGACTCAAAATCACAGAAAAAAAAAATATGGGCGCCAGTAACCTATATAATAAAGCCCAATTCCCAAGGTAGATTGATAACCGGTTACGAGAAATCATCAAAAGTTACCATTCGCATAGCAGATCGAAAATAGCGGGTTGCCGGAGTAAAAGATAAAAAAAAAACAATTAATTCCCAAAAATATTTAATCAGTATGAGCACGTTCCTTTTTTTCTATAACACCAGAAAATTTATATTACTTCAGCGTATATACTGATAGACGGAGAAAATACTATCAATTAATCTATTATTTGATATTGATTACCTTTAATTTGGCGTTGTCAAGGGTGTAACTCAAAATACCTTACGTGATCACGGTCGGTGTACAATTAATCACAAAACCTATAATATATATAATATCAAACAAATGTTACAGCGCTCATGACACAAAAAAAAAATAATGCACTCCGGCCCTGAGCAATACGAAATCCTAAAAGCTAATTAATAAATTAATGAATCTGTGGACTAATTAATGGTTATCGGTCTTCCACCAAAAAAAAAAAAATGCTCAGGTACGGTCCTGCAGTGGTTGCGCCAGTTAGAAGCAATGAGATTTAGGTATAAATACCTTTAATACAAATGAACGTGCCAAATGCTAATCAAATAAAAAATCATATGTAAAATAAACATAACTGAGGTGATAATAATGAGATAATTAATAATTAATTGAAATTACTCTTCAGTCTGTTCATCAATAATAAAGTAGAAACAAAATAAGTAGTTTAGTTTATACTAGGTGGGTACCAAAACGTATTGATGAACCATGAAAAAGGCAGCAATATTTTAATAATTGTAAGGTAATACAATAATGTTTATGCGTATTGTGAAATCCGCAATACTATTAAATCACAGGAGTCATCAGAACAAAACAATGCAATAATGGTTACTTGGAAACCTGGGTTTGCCAACAGGTTCAGATGTCCTGGGGCAGGAAAGCCTCTATCGAAGAAAATCAGCTCCAAGCTAATAAGCAGTCTCCCAAAGTGTTGCTTAGACACAATTGCAATGAGGATCCCTAGGACGCAACCCCAACCGTAGACCCTAATATTGAACAAAACACCGAGTTTTATGATACTATTCGGTACACAACAGTATTATTTAATCGAATAAGTATCCCCAAGGTATTTTAAGGTATTTTAATAATCATTATAGAGAAAATTAGACCCACTCATTAATTAAATCCCCCCTCTTCAAGTTTTTTTTTTTCTCTCTCCGGAGTCACCTGACAAGGATGAACTCAGAGTTAGAATGTGCATAAAAGGCTCCCTGATCCATCCATAAATACAATGCGTCAATCAATTAAAATTTGGAATTGATGGAGCATAGTATGATGGAACTCATGAATTCATTAATAACTAATGCAACAAAATTCCCCTTAATCCTTGAGAATACTATTCGAAATTTGAATTTAATGAAATTGTAAAATACTTACACACGATTCCGTGTGGCCAAACGCAGGAAAAATACCGGGATTTCTTGATTTTGGGCAGTTTTGGAAAACGTGGAGCACTCTGGGTGGAGGACAAAAAAACGAAAACCCTCAAATCCAGCTGATTTCACAGCTGCAGCAAATCGGCACCAAAACGGCAATAGAACAAAACGCACCACCAATTCGCTGTTGAACCACCACGGTCAATTTATCCCTTTCAATAAGGCTTGCACAAAATACTTGCAAATTTCGTAACTATGATGGCGTGGTTATCTGGCTTTCTGTCCCCGAATTTTCGAGAGTGATGGCCACTTCCTGAGTTCGTCGGTCCCCCTTTAGTGGAGAGGGAGTAGGGGAAATTTCCAAATACGCACCCGGCGGGAAAACCTAACTCTTCCGCGATGTCACCCACAGAGGCCACAGAATACTCAACTCTATACTGAATATCTCAAAACAAATCATCCGACAGGAATCTCATAGCCGCATAAAGTGTTTATTTATAAATCCGAAAATATTTAAAGAAATACGAAAATTCGACAGTACGGAATGGAACCCATTCCCCGGTGGTACTCCCAGAATAGTCGAAGACCTGACCATGCGTAGCGGATCCTACCAACGCGTCGGCCGAATATCCTTATCTATAAGGTCTATTATAAAGAAAATTGGTACTCGATTGTTGCAATTTAATAAATCACCAACCAAATTCGCACAGTACAGAACCGGGTCAGCCGTTTACGGCTATGGATTATTGTCGAAATTCTTAAAACTAACAAAAATTAATACGGATAATTTTAAACCGTTACACTTGCTTCAAAAAAAATTTTGGATAGAGGAAGCGCAATGCAACACACGGTACTTGTGGACGAAATAAATCGACATAGCATCCTTAGCATGCCTTCTGACCTAATGCCAACCTTCGTGAGTCGTGACAGAGAGCTATGGGCCAGCGACAAGACTGGTGGGTCTTTATACTGCAGACTTCGAAAGCACATGATGCACAGGATAGGAATAGCATAAAGTGCCGAGTCGCCTGTGCATGGAAGAGGACGAAACTACAGATTAGAGCTTGTCCCATGTAAAGTCAGTTGCATGGTTCTTGAGCTGCGCAGTCTGAAGAGGCAGAGGGGAAAATTCCACATAAAAACTCGGCTAACGTTTGATACCATAGGCGTGCGTAATGTTATTTTTTCTATTATAAGATTAAAATTTATTTTCACATTTGCAATTTGCGTTTGATGTTGGGTGTATATGTTTCATGAAAAAAACTTGGATGTTCAAAATTTCGAATTTCGCCCAATATAAGGGTGGTTCAACTCAACAGGGTGATTCGTATTTGTTCCTTCTTCATCGCAAACTCTATATATATTGGCTATTACCTCCCTTGTTTGGCTATGGAGATTTTTTTTTACGTTAATTTGTCCATGTTTTTAAACACCTTTTGGCTACGCCACTGAATAAAACTTTGATTGAACAGAGACGCCAGTGAAACAAAATTTAAAATGTGCCCGCCTAGCTGACGGCGGCGACGGCGCCATCACCTGGTTGTGGTGGGATCCAATCGCTCAGTCATTTTTTCCTATTTTACATACGGAGAGTACGGCTCGATTCGAAACGTTCCACATAAGTGATCTCAGTGATGCCGGATTTCGGAAAAAAATATGGATTTTCAATGATGTATGATTTATTAAATATATAAAATGAATGTTTAAAAAATATTAATTATGGTATCATTATATTTTTATGTTATTTTTAGAATATTATTCGATTTGAAGAATAGTATTCTCCATATTTCGAAGACGAAGGAGATTTTATTGCAATTTTCATGTATTATTATTATTATTGATATGACAACGCCGCAATGACGAATTTTCCCCTCTGCATCTTCAGACTGCGCAGTTCAAGAATCATGCAACTGACTTTACGTCACCGGTAATAGGTAGAATCACGGCACGCTTTTCGGTGAGTCAGCTGTTGGACCCGAGTATATGTCTAAAGCATGCTTCCCCCACACTTATTTTCACCTTCATTAGAATTGCTGGACTAATGGGAGAAATACAAAATCGGAGTAGGCCACAATAGACTGCAGTGGAAGGGACGAAATAGGACCACTCATAAGAAAACCTATTCCTCAACTTAAACTGTCAAGCTTCTTTTTAGGAGTTAACATGCACAATATAAACCACAAATCTAAGAGAGTATGGAAACTGGGAGTTTCCCCTTGAAAAATCCGCTTGAAAAAAAAAGTTTATATATCAGCTATTTTTAGGATACACTGTATAGGTACTTATTAAAGAAAATATAAGTTAAAAAAAAAAACATCTCTGACCCTTTTTCCACCGAGAAAATTCCACTATATAATGAATTTAGGCGGAAATTTATGAACTCGCTGCTAAAAAAAAAAAATATATATTTATAAAATATAAAAGAAACACGCTGGAATACGCAGTAAAAATACGAATCAATGCGTTTAAAAGGCAGAGCTCATGAAAAGTGGAACTAAGTACCTAATTGAAATATTACCTATATTTTTAACAATATGGGTTCAATTCTTTCAATTTTTCATTCGTGAAAGAAATTTAAAAAAATCCTATGTGTTTTATTCTATTATAATCTTCTTACTTTATTTGAAAAATAAAATCCTCATTTTCCACAGTTCTAACCTCTAAAATCTTTTAGGCCGATCCTGAAGCAAATTAAAAGCTCGGAAGATCTTCATTTTATACTCGACTGTAAAGCGGATCATATATTAGAAGTTTTACGACAGGCCCGGGAAGTAAAACTTTTAGAGGATTACCACAGCTATATTTTAACAGATTTGGTACGTATACGTATTTGTGTTTTATTACCTTAATATTTTAAAGCTGGATTTGGCTGAAACCTAAAGAATATACGGATACATTTTCTATATTAAGTCTTTTTTTTTTCATTTCAGGATGCTCACTCTCTGGATTGGTCAGAATTTATTGGAGTAGTAACAAATATTTCTACATTCCGAATTGTTGATCCAAAAAGTGCTAGTGCAAAAAACGCAGGAAAACTCTGGATGATTGATCCAAAAACTATTAAGGTATTATTATTATTATTAGTTTTCTAATATTGAAATATTGAAATCTTTGAATATTCGAATCATTTGATACTAAACGTTATAGTTCTAGATTCAGTCACCTTTCCTCTCTCTTACTGAATTTAATATCAAAAATGTCGATTTTCTATCTCTACATGATGCATGGACTTTATAGCTTTCGCGGAAATGAATTCCCCAAGATAAAGGAGAATCATTTTTCCCAGATCCAAACTGAAAATTTCTTTCAATTTCCAAAGAGCTTATAAATCAGACAGTTTTATTTATGTCAGGCATTGAGAAAAATAATTCAAATTTTAAAATACTTGTCACTGAGCTAGCTGGGTATATTAGACGCAAAATTATTTTATTTTGTAGGTATCTACTATGTATTATGTCCCTAAAAATTAATTTGAAACATCCATTTTCTAGTCAAGTTTCAGCATACTTATAAACAGATTAGATATTTATTAAAAGCATAAATCTCAGTGAATGATTTGCTCTCAGTTCTCCGAATTAAAGCCAATTCCCAAGCAGTTTGGTCACAAACTAAATTTACTTAATCACTGACCCTAAACTGACCTGGTTTTGCATAATGCAGACAATGACAACGTTGATTTATATGGCAAATCCTGTAAAGGTTTATCTCAGGGCTACGTAAATATAGCTGAGAATTGAATTACGATGTATTTGCTTTGATGATGGTATACATAATTTGGGTCGGGTTTCTTTTTCATTTAATTTTTTTTTCTCCAAACGTCAAAAATACGTCACTTTGTTAACCCCTGTCAAGATGTCAGAAATTTAATTTCTATGCTGCTAGGTAAATCCAGCGGGTCAATACCTGTCGAATTGGTAGAAGTTTAATTTCTATGCTGCCTGGCAACCCCAGCGACGGCAAAAGTACTTTTAGTGCCGCTCGTACTTTTACTGCCGCTCAACCATTCACTTGCCCCCGATCTTACCCCATTAGTTTGGAGAAAAAATAGTTGTGTTAGGGTTTCACTTTCGTGAACTGGAGGTTTTCGTGTTGTTTCCTGTATCCCGGAAAACATGATAGATTGCTGGAGTGACGTCACTCCAGCTGATCCAGACTCCAAACAGTGATGTTTTATGTCCAGAAAAAAAAATAAGGCAGAATCAGGTTCACCAAGATTTGGAATATTAAATCCATGAATTCTGTCAAAAAGCGAGTGTCTTGCAAAGACAAAAAAAAATAACATGAAACTAGTTTATTACTATTACTATTGTTGTGCTTTGTGCAGACACTCCTTTCCAACAGAATCAGGTATGAGCAACTATAACAAATTGGAAAAAATATTTTAATATAAAAAAAAAAACAATTAAATAATTGAAAATAATCATAAGATAAAATAGGTAATAACAGCAAGATTGGATTAAAATGCTCGTAACAAATTGAGCAGGGTGCTGCTATTCTGGCTGTAGCAATAAGCAGGGAAGAATAAAAACAAATGTAGGAAAAATTGAATCAGATTTAAAAAAAAAATTAAATCTCTAGACTCTCCCCAAATAGACCAATTTTCCTTCTTAGTTAAGGTACCTACCATAGATACTACAAGATAAACCTAAGGGTGAAATCAATCAAATCCAGGATATGTCAAAATTCTTGAGATATTTTAGTGAAAAATTATACTCTTTTCCAACACTCTTCTCCTCGAGAAGATAATAATTGACGGAGTCAAACAGAAAATGGCTATATATAGGCCCCTGCCTGGATTCAATAAAGAGTTGATAGGGATGGATACACAAATTTGGTTCTCACCGACTCTATTTAGAGCAAATGGTCTCATAATCCCACACTAACAATTGATTCCGAAAACAAGAGCAGCAGTACCTATTTATTAGGCCAAAAATCTGAATTGACTTACCTCAGAAAAACGTGGAACCACAATAAGATAAAAAACTAAAATATAATATTTATATTTCAAAAGTAGATAAGATAAGATTTAACAGGTAAGAACTCAACAATGAGATGGTAGTATACACTGATGGTGAAATACATTGAAAAATTATAAAGGGAGAATCTAGAAATCTGAAGGAAAAAACTACAAAAATCAAAATTGACTTGCCTTCCAAGCCACTGCCAGAAGAAGAGACCGTTTTAGAAACCAAACCCTGCAGGAAGACGAATCTTGTTTTTTTCTATTTTGCTTATTAACCAGATCGACCAATCCGAAAACTAAACTCAGTCTAACCAAAGTTGAATATTACAAAAGTCACTTAATCGAATATATCACAGACGTTGCTTATTGCTGCTGTCTTTATTGCACGCGCACTGTATTTATTAAACCAAAATAGGTTCGAACGTGTGAATCCCATGGTTACAAGGATGAGTAAGTGACCTTCAACGTTCAACTTTGGTCAGACAGAGTTTACACTCAACACACACAAAAGACCGTATCTACTTCATAATGAATTACCATGCTGATTTAAAAGAGAATAGATAAAAACCCCTCTAGAATTATTTTAATTGTTCACAAATTACAATAATTTAAATTAAGGTTATGTTGAAAACAAAAAACCACTTATTAATTAGGTGATTAAGGGCGGGTAACTTGAAGTTAACTTTTTGAATTACATGTAATTCCAGAAGTTAACTTTAAGTTAACTCTCAAAGTAGTTTTATAATACCCGCCCTAAGCTAAAAATAATAATTTCAGAATCGGAAGTTAGAGAAAGACAGAAATATATCTATTCGCTAAAAGTGAGATAAATATAATAATTTCTTTAAAATGAAAACACGAATGACTGTCGATGAGAAATAATAAAAATCATATTTTAAAAAATAAATCTATCCGGTACTAGATGGCGGTACCTTTTTATAATAGATATTTTGCATTTTATGCTGATGATGAATAGATGGCAGTACTGATATTATATTGAACTTTGTAGATACTTTAAGATTACTCAAATTATGAATTAATATTTTGCTGATTCTGAAATGGCAAAAATATAACCTATAATGAAAATAAGAAGAGAATGAACACGTTACGAAAATGATAAATTTGTCGTAACAAAGTTCATTGGAATTCAAGAAGATGTTTTGCTGTTGGGTATCGATGAATTATGACTATAAATACTGATTCCATGTGTAACCATTCTTGATGGGAAAAATCGGCCAAAATAAGGTATTCATTTACAGCTACAGCAGTACCCTAATAACACAAAGACATCCCAGGAATGTTCAAAGAATATTTAGTTGGGACAATCAGAATATTCCTGGAAGATTCTGTTTAGATCCTGAAACATTCCTGGAACATTCCAGGAGACGCTTTTGTCATCAAAATGGATGTTCTAGGAATGTTCTATTGAATCATTCCTGGAATATCTTCAATCATCCCACATAGTATATTCGGGATTTTTGTGGGATATAGGAGGAACATGCACAGAACATCCCACAAATAAACTAGTGGGACACACTTTTGTTTAGGTTTATTAATTATAGATATTATTCAAATTATAAATTGTAAATTGACATCCAACACTTGCATCAACAGTTTCCTAGAAAGTTCCATTTTCTGAAGAGTAATAATGCGTGCTGATACTTTGTTCAGGTAGAACGGTAGAAGGTATCTGATTAAAATCTTCATAGAATCTTAAGTAGCCAAGTAAAATGTCCTCTCAGTCATAGAAACGAGCGTAGAACTAGAGAAAGGATGCTGCCTCGGGTTCTGATGCTCATCTTGTAGATCAGGTTCTGAATGACTTGATTGTTTGTTCCTTTGACAATAATTAGTTGCTCAACAATTCTTTTTTCCTGTAGGATCCATCTTCAGCACTGTAAGCACTCTAAAAACCTCTTAAATAAATTACTGAACAGGCTACATGTAGTACTTACCTAACACAAAAATGCAAAAGGTAACGAAACCTCGAAAATTGGAAGAGCCAGTGAAAAATTATGTGGGAAATTCGTGGAAAAATCTACGAAAAACCATATAAAAACACGAGCAAACCAAGCACCGAACGTTTTATTGTTCAAAACCGACCACCGATAAAACGATTATTTTGTAATTAAAACAAAACTAAATTAATAACAAACAATAAAATTTGCTGACTTGTTTTTTCGGAGTGAGGTTAGGTTGTCTGTGATGAATATGAAGTGAGGTGCCGTGGCTTGTGACGTGCGGCTTTTGTTCGACGTTGCCAGTTGTCACGTATATTATTTTTGTGTAACGAGTAAAATATCGCCAATATAAAAAAATATACAACCTATTAATTGTATTTTTATATACAAACATTACATATAAAATTCGAAAACTTATGAAACTACTAGGTATATTTCATCATATTTATATGGAATAAAATCATCCAAAGAAATCTGACAACGTCGAAAATGGGTATCGTCATAATCAACACTGCTGGTTGATAGACGAACTGACGAAGCGCAGTTGGGTCGTTGGTCTTGTTGGTCTGAATCTGGCAATGGGATTTTTTTAAAAGTTTTTTCTCTTTATATGCTGCTAAGCTGAGAATTATAAATAAGAAATCACAAAACAAAGAAACAGGAATATTTGAGGGATGTTCCTTGAATATTACATCTAAATATTCCAGTTATATTCTATCTGAAACATTCTGGGAATGTATTATCAAGGTACGGGACATTCATACTTTCATAGTACATTGGCAGGATATCCCAGGAAAATCCTGTGTTATCAGGGTACTTGGAACAGCAGCAACATATTGCAATTAAGATTATGAAGATGATTGCTACAGATAGGATGGTGTTGAAGATTGGCTGATATCCGGAACCGAATGACTTATTAATTTCATTTTGCAAAGTTTCTTCGAACATTTCCAGTTTGTGCTTTGCATGGCGTTATTCATCCAGATCTATGTTATTTTATTTAGATGATTTGAAATGGGTGAAGTTGTTTGTTTGGTTTGAAGTCGAGAACAGAACATTAGAAAGTGTGAAACATTTGCAACGAGGCTTTAGCTTCAAGATGCCAGATTTGGTCAATGTGAAGTCTATGAAGTTCTCGGGG